CATACTGTGGAAAGAAACTGTAAATTACAAGAGAGGCCACCTTTTTTTGCTCAAATTGGGAACTTAACTAGCATCCTTTTATTAGAGCTAAAGTATGCTTCTAGAGTACCCTTCAAAGAGCTCTCCAAATGGGAAAGATCCTGCAATTTCCAAATGCGCCTCATTACACTCTGCCTTCCAGCCTTTTTGCTTTGTTGGTCAGGGCAGGTTTTAAGCAGAAGAAAACTGCAGACAGGACTCATGGTTCCTTCACCCACTTGCTACAATTGTTTAAATGCTGAGGTGTCCTAAAACTTTGGATAGTCTTTGGAAACTAAGCCAAAGAATTTTTTTTCTTATTTATTCTGGTCCAGTGCAAATATTTGTCCATTGAGAAATATGTAATACATTAGAATCGTAGACCCACCATCTGCTTAAAAGGAGCCAACACCCACCTGCGAGGAGACGGATACAGGTTGGCATCCTGTTCCTCCAGCTCCGGCGACGGCAGCTGACGCTCTGTGGCCCTGGTTTGTTTGCGCTGCCCCATGCTAAGATTTCCTGATAAAATTATGAAAGGGTGTGTACATTCGCGCAACCCATAAAGATTACTTTCAGGCTCTCTTAGTGTAATCTTGTTACGGTAATGGGGTCAAAAGGAAGCTAAAAAATACCATAAGCTTTGGTACGTGGGTGCATTTTTATGCTAATGATCTAGTGCAAGGAATGAAATGAAGAAATAAATGAAGCCACTCATGTTTTGTAATTATGACTGCAGGTTTGGCTGAGAGAAAGAGATCTTCATTCGTGGAAAGTGTGATGGCAAAAAAGGATACTCTGCTCTCAGGGGTTTGTCTTTTTAAATAACCAAAGTCCTCATTTTAGCTGACAAAGGCCTTTGGCTGACACTCAACCCTAGAGTTCTCCCTGAAATGCTTGCTCTCTCTGCTTAACAATAAGCGTGTAGAACCTGGGGAATGAATCTGAGCGTTGTTCCTGGAAGCAGCTTCCATTGCTTCTTAAAGAAGCCCCCTAGAGGACAAGCATTTCAGGGTGGTCATCACATCATACGAGGTGTCTCCCTGCAGGGCTCTTCTCCAAGATTGTTCTTCTTTGGGAAAACTCTAATGCAAAATGAAGACAGAAAGATGTTATTATATTTTAGAGTTTGAAAGTTTTGAAACAAATGACCTAGGAACATTTATGAAGGTTTTAGACTAGTCTTAACATGTCTGAACCAAGAAACGTGATTGTCTAAGACCCCCCGGGGCGATTCATACAGGTTTTGTGCCAAATCTAATCATGAAAACAATCAAACTACACCTGCTTTTTGGGGGCACATTGCTTTACTCTGCAATTTTTCTCAGGATACCAAAGAGTTATATGATTAGTGTATATAAAATTCTTCAGTGCCCCATAGGATTAATACAATTAGAAGAGAGTGACTTCAGTGTGGTACTAGATGCAGGTTTTTAAGTAAACAGGTAGTTTTAAGAGGTCATTGAAATGATAATAACAATCACATTTGTGGTGGGGTATTAATAAGATAATCCATGCAAGGACCTCAGCACAGTGACTAGAACATAGAAAGGGTTCAACATATGTTTGCTTTAAAAATAATAACTAAAGGCACCAAATGTAATAATCAGCTTTTTCTCTGGAAATGACTTTTGTTTTTCGATTAAAAACCATAGCATTAACTTTAGGTATTTCATAAACCCAACTAAATTTATTTATTTTATAAAACTCTTTGAGTACTGATATAACATTTAATTGGGAAAAAATGTGTTTGGAGCGTAGAACTAGAACCTGACAAACTTATTGTGAGAAATGATTCTTCCGGTCTAGCAGGGCTTCTTTTCAAGTGTGTGATGGGAAGTGTTGGTTCCTTGCTCATGGAAACCATGCAAATTGGGGAAGGGAAAGTAGAGCATCTACATTGGTTTGCTGGAGCTGTCATAATGAAATACCACACATGGGGTGACTTAACAACAGAAATTTATTGCCTCATAGTTCCAGAGGCTGGAAGTTCTGAGATCAAGGTGTTGCCAAGACTGGTTCCTTCTCGGGCTGTGAGGGAGAATCTGTTCCATGTCTCTCACTGGCCTTCTGGTGGTTCTCTGGTAGCCTTTGGCATTGTTCCTTGGCTTCTGTTGCATGGCCCAGACCACTACCTTTATCTTCCCATGATGTTCTGTTGCATGTCTCTGTGCCTCAGTTCCCCCTTTTTATGAGGACACCACGCATACTGGATCAGGGGCCCACCCTACTCTAATATGACCTCATCTTAACTGAATGAATTCTATCTTCAATGACTCTATTTTCAAATAAGATCATATTCTGACTTGCTAGGGGTTTAGGATGTCAGTCTATGAATTGGGGGTGGGGTACAATTTAAGCTCTAAGAGCATCTTATCCTGAAAATAACTCTAATATGCTTCCAGAATTTGCAGTAATCAATACTCAGCAAAACATCCAGTTGCATGATTACAAAGTTGTAGGCAGTGAATTTGTTTCATCTGTTATGAAATGATGTTTATAAACTAGAATTTGTAAAGTTAATCACTGAAAACGCCAGGGGAGTTACACATCTAATGGCATCCTACTGTGGATGTTTGCTCAACATTCACGGTTTGTGTGTTTGTATGTGTGTGTGTGTGAGAGAGAGAGAGGGAGAGAGGGTGGTGGTGGTGGAGAGAATGCTTTTAAGGGCTTTCCATTTAGCAAAAAAGACAAATGTTGTATGAAAAACAATTTTTTTTAAGAATGGGAAGAAAAGCTTATCTTTCTTTACTCAGTAAAGATGTTTGTGAATACACAGAATGTGTATTATGCATTATTTTAAGTGCAATGTGTTTTAAAGAGTACTACTGTAAACTCTCAAGCAAATCTCTATAAATCTAAATCTCTATAGGGTGTAAATCAGTATGTTAAAAAGGTAAGTTTGTCTGAGCTTGATGCAATATCTTTTTAAACCTAAAGGTTTGAAAGACTCTACCAAGAACACCCTGCCCACTTGTATTTTAGAGTTAACCCAGTGAACAAGAACTTCTTGAGTCCCTGCAGTATGTTTTATTCTCTACTTCATTGTATTAAGTTTTTAAAAAAATATATCTTTATTGATTTCAGAGAGAGGAAGGGAGAGGGAAAGAGAGAGAGAGAAATATCAATGATGAGAGAGTCATTGATCGGCTGCCTCCTGCACGCCTCCAACTGGGGATCGAGCCCACAACCCGGGCATGTGCCCTGACCAGAATCGAACGGCGATCTCCTGGATCCTAGGTCGACGCTCAACCGCTGAGCCATGCCAGCCAGGCTGTATTAAGTTTTAAATGGTGGGATACATTCTTGGATCTCAAGATTCACAGGTGCTGCATCTGTGTGAAGCCTCACAGCCATACTAGAAGGCTGGGCCGTCCCTCCACTGTTCCCACACCATCCTATTACAGGATTTAATAAGGAGTTATTTCCATCAGTTATAGATCTCACCACTAGGCTGTGAATACTGCAGGGGAACAGAATTGCCTTGTTTTTATCTAGTTCATCTTTCGGTCCACAATACCAAACACAATGTCTGGCAAAGAGTAGACATCAAATGTTTCAATAATTGGGAAATATTAAATGCTATAAAATTATTGAGTTTTTTTCCAAACTCGGAAATTGAGAGATTGATTTGAAATATAGAAGAAATGTTGCTATTTTAGGCAAAAAAATGAAGGGAAAGAGAATGAGGGGACGGAGGAGCATCCAGTACAGTATTTCTAAGCTGGGGTTGCCGTTTTTAGCAAATGAAAGTGCAGGTCTCCCAGTTAAATTTGAATTTCACATAAGCAAATACATTTTTAGTATAAGTCCCAAATATTTCATAGTACATACTTATATTAAAAATTGTCTATCTCTAATTTAAATGGAACTGATATCCTTTACTGACAACTCTATTTTAATCTCTTTGTGAATGTGTAATTTTTTGACTCATATATCTCTTTAAAATGCAAATGAGAGCTCTGACTGCTCCTCTGTAAATATCCCTATACACACAGAATTGTGCATCCTGTTTCAGGGAGTTGATGTTAGTAATTCAATTCTTACTATTGGATGTGTTAGAAAAGGAGTCAATATTTTTGGAAGTTACAAGGCTAAGAGAAATAGAAATAAAGTCGTATAGGTGTATATACATACAGGATGGGGCTAAAGTAGGTTTACATTTGTGAGTATGGGAAACAGAGTTAATTCTTGTATTACTATTTATTAGTGTATTATTTTCCATATGAACAACTGTAAACCTACTTTTGCTTCACCCTGTATATATATTCTAAGCATAGATCTACATTTCAAAGTTAGGGGTAACCTCAGAAGTGATCAAATCTAAATCACTAATTTCATAAAGTGAAGAAATTAGAAATACCAACTAGGATATAGAATTTAATTGTTAAAGTAGGGTAGAAAACAAAACTAAATTGATTACAAGATTATACTGACTAATCTAACTTATCAAATAATTATGCATGTTATATATATTAAATATTAGCATATATAATTATATCCATAATTAAATTACATATAATAAAAAGTAATCATATGTATATTAAAATACAAAGACACATACTTTTTATGATAAAGAAGAACCAATTTATCATTTAGTAACATTTTTACAATAATTAAAAATAGAGAATATGTTATTTTACTTGTTAGCTCTTAAAACAGCAACTAAATTCGCAACTAACCTTTTCTTAGTTCATAGCAAATGATCACTGACATTTTCTGCCTCTTCACTCAGTAGTGCAACAGTAGAATCAGCTATATTACTTTAGTCTTCATACTTTAAATCATTAAATCTGAGAATGCCAGTGCACTCTGATGTCTTAGTATTCACTAAAAAATCAACTCTCAGACTATGATCTAAAATTTAAATATTAAATATAAGATATTTAATATTCTTTTGCACATGGATATCTAGCACTGATTTCTAGTTATTGGTTAGGTAACCTACTCATATCCAAATAGTTTAGTTATTATGTTTGCTTAAAATGAACAGAATAGTGGTCAAATAAAACCTGGATAAAGCTTAATTTTCTCTAACTCATGAAACATTGGAATTAATAAAAAATCTGTATCATAGACATTGTATATATACATATATATCATTATTAAAGTGTACTTCTATATTTCAAAATAATTCTACTTAAATGCAATCAAATCCTATGGGTTGGGAAATTTCTATCCATCTCAAACATTCTCTCACTTCTAAGAATTATTCCCAGCTCCTCCAGAGCTCCCTGTGAAGAACTGAATTGGTGGTTGGATGTAGATATCTCTTATTTAGGTCCTCTTGTCTCTACCCTAACCTAACTCTCAGCTCATGACAAGCTTTCTTTGCTACTGATGTCGATAGAAGTCAAACTACTATACATTGTCATGCTGATTTTGACATTTATTGAAATATAATTTTACCTTCATAAGCATATTGCAAACATATTAAAAATCTAAATGGTACTGTAACAAAATTCATGTGTTTGTACATTTAGTAGTAATCAGTAACCAGAAAGTTGTCTTCATGACATCTGACTTCTTCGAGATAATCCTTTATAACTCTGATTGAATAAGTTTTAATGCTTTCTTCATGTTTTCTATCACTGAAATAAAAATAAAAATATATTACTTTATTAGTAAATAAAATTATCAAACAATCTTTTAACCCCTGAATCGAAAATTGGCCCATTTAAATGGATAGCTATGAAAACATAAGAATTTATCTACATTAAAGAATATTATGCCCAGTCGGGCATGGCTCAGCGGTTGAGCATCGACCTAGATCCAGGAGAATGCAGTTCGATTCCCGGTCAGGGCACATGCGCGGGTTGCGGGCTCGATCCCCAGCAGGGGGAGTGCAGGAGGCAGCCGATCAGTGACTCTCTCATCATTGATGTTTCTTTCTCTCTCTCCCTCTCTCTGAAATTAATAAAGATATATTAAAAAAAAAGAATATTATGCCTTCATGGACCTCATCTGAACTCCTAACACCCAATAAAGTTCCTTTTGACACACACGCACGCACACACACACACACACACACACACAAGAATATTATGCTAAAGCTGTGTACTTATATATAGTAATTATATACGTGTTAATCAACTTTATGTTAAAATGAACAATTTTATAAAAGGAGTTTTGAGGGAGTGTCTATTTTTTTCAAACTGATCATTTTGTATCTATATCACTGGATCTGACATGCATAGTTATCTTATTAAATACAGTTGACAGTGAATGTTGTAAAAATTAGATTAAAATCCCAAGACAGACTGAACCTCCTTGCTTACAGGCATTAAAGGGAGAGAAAAAGTTTTAATTATTATCACTTTGAGGAAATCACACATGATCTTTGATACTCACAGAATGGACTGGCTTTCTTAAAGTTTAATTGTAATGTATATTCTTTTTAGTGGTCTCCAAATTAGTGATTGTAAGAATTATCCTTGTTGAAAAAGAGATTCTGAGGTGCCCAGAAATTCTGATTTTGATGGGAGCTAAGGGTTTGCACTTCAAACAGTTATCACCTAACTCAGTGATTCTGGTTTGTCGGCAGCACTGTTTGTGGGAAGCACAGATGCAGGGCATCACTGGCCCTTCTAACAGCGAAGTGTCAGCTAGTATCACTGTTCAAGATAATTTGTGAATACTTACATATTGGTAAATCCTGAGGCTCATATGTATACATTCTGTTAGAGTATCTTCCAGTTATGTCAGCTCTGACTGTTAAAGAAGGATCTGCCAAGAAAGAATAATTTACTAAGGAATTATCTAAAATAGTCTTAAAACCATTCTTGCCTCTTGATCTAAAACAAATAAATGTTAAACAAATTTATGATGAGTTAACCTGAATTTTTTCATTTTAGTGTGTCATAGTTCTCTGTCATCACAGTTTGGAGAACTTTACTGAAAGTACATTGGGATATTGATTTAATAGCATCAGCTAGTTTAAAAAATATTTAAATTTACATATTGCAGATATATTGAATTTCATTGTAGAACTAACAAGAACTGTTATTGACTGGGTTAGAAATGACTTCTCTTGAACTAGCACTTAAAAATAAATAAAAGCAAAAATGCTACAGATTCTGTAAATCTGATGGCATGAGATTACACACATACCCACAAACATGATTCTAGGCACATATTGTCCATCTGGTGATAAATTTTTATCTGTGGTCTCATGCTAGGAAGAGAAGAAAAAATAAATGTTATTGTATTGGATTGTTTTTGACAGGTGATTCTGAAAATATTTTATGTGAACAAGGTTTTCAGTAAATTGTATATTTTGGCTTTTTACAATTTCATATAACATTCTATACCCACCAATACTTGATAGCTCTTTTTGTCTTAAAAATAGAGAAAAAAGGGATTCAAATTATCTATTGAGTTGTGATATTAAGAAAACATTGTAGAGGTCATGTACCATGAGATTCAGCATAATGAAATTATTCTTGGCCATTTCTTGTATTTCTTCACTTTGGGTGAACACTTTTTTGAGTGCTATGGAGGAAAACAATGAATGCCAGTCAGTTTTAAGAATAAAGACACTTTCAATATAAATAATATAGCAAAGTAAACCTAGTATTTTCCGTTGGCTTGCATTTGTATCTAGGATGAAGACAGTTCATTGGCCTATGTTCGCTTTGTCTCTCATTGGGAAGCAATGATGGACAGAGCCTGTCCATAGACACATGGGGGGTAATCCCATTAATGAAGCCACCAATTTTGAAATTTCATGTAACTAATTGGTTAAAAGAGCAAGTTTCCCACCCCTCCCTTTTATTTTGGTGGGGGGGAAAGGGCAATAAAATTTGAAAGAGCATATAAATATATTCAGTAGATTGCTAACAATCACTGTAGTCTTCAGGCACCTGAGTAAAATGGTGGCATGGCAGTTGTCTTTTTTTTTTTTTTTTAATGGAATTTGCTGAGTGCTGCCTTAACAATTTTTACCAGGCCACTTTTTCTAGGTCTTTTGGAAATACAATAAGATCTCAGGAGCTAAGATTACCTTGGCAGTATTGACAATCTTCCAAGTGATGAATAACCATCAATGGCTTGTTACTAAACAGAGACAGAAAGTGTGGAGTTAAGTTACGTGATTAACTCCGAGTCTAAATGTAAGTGAAATTAGATATAAAGTTTTCATACTTTCAACAAGACTTGCAGTAAAAATCTGATTGACAAATCAAAGCAATGTGGTCTGCAATAGTGTTACTCAAAACATGGCCCCAGGACTTTGAGCATCACCGGGTAGCTCAATAGAAATGGAAATTCTCAGGCTGCATCCCAGGCCCATTCAGGATCTCTGGGGTGGTGTCCAGGAATCTGTAGATTAACAAGCTCACCAGATCATTCCTGTGTACACTGTAGTACAGTCATAAAAATAAAACTCAATTCTGTCTCCAGATATGAAAGGATATTATAAATAAGATATTAATTTCCAATGAACATTTGGTATAAGAGTTCAGGAGAGTCAAAGTTTTTATTTAGTTTTTTGTTTTGTTTTGTTTTTAGTTTTCACAAAAATGCTGTTAACATTTGACTGTTTTCACATCCATTCATTCTTTTAACAACTCTCAATATGCCAACAATCTCAGTGAGAGTTCCCTCTCCATACATTTTTCAGTTTCATTTTGATTTTAACCCTCTGAAAAAAGTTTTCTGTGGTAACTAATTGACTTTCCTGCTCGTTAGAGTAAGAAAAAATTAGAATATTAACTGTAACTTAGGAGAAAGGAATTACGATGTGGATATATAGGATGTTTTAAAAATGTTTCTTTAATTTTGAGAGGATGCTGGGTCCAAAAAGAGATAGACTCTAATGTATGCATATTAAATCTTTTTAAAAGCAACAGAGGTGTGGCTCAGTGGTTGAGCATCAACCTATGATCCAGGAGATCATGGTTTGATTCCCAGTCAGGGCACATGCCCCTGTTGCAGGCTTGACCCCAGTAGGGGGCGTGTAGGAGGCAGCCAATCAATGATGACTCTCTCATCATTGATGTTTCTCTCTCTCTCTCTTTCTCTCTCTCTCCCTCTCTCTCTCTCTCTCTCTGTCTCTCTCTCTCTCTCCCTCTCCCCCTCTCTCCCTTCCTCTCTCTGAAATCAATAAAGATGTATTAAAAAAAATAAATATATAAAAAAGAAATTAATACAAAGGTATTTAGAGCTCTTGATTGTAAGAAAAACATTCTAATGGCAACTCTTAGTTGAAAGAGCATACAATAGTAGAGCAAATATGTGTGATATCCTTTCAAAAGCTAACTTACTAGTTTTTGGTTCTGTGAGGAAGTATCTATATGATCTGTCAAAATTAACTGAGAGGTGTTTCACCTTTTTTGAATATGGAAGAGACCCTCTTCATAAGTCTGTACCCAAGTGATGTCATCTCCCCATCCTAAAATAGAAGAAAAATCAATGAATTAACTCAGGACCACAGAGGAGCTCTGAAATATTCATGTGCCAGACAGATATCTATCCACAGATATTTAAGCTACCAAGCAGTTGCCTGACATATGGTATAGAGGATATATCATTATAATTAAATGTGAAGGGGTGGTATCCTTTCAGATTATAGTGCTGAGGTTTTGTGACTGTTTTAACCCTTAAGGTCTATGTCCTTGAACCTGGTAAGTGCTCAGTAAATGCTCTTATTAGTGATGATTGAAAGGGCATCTCTGGATCATGCAAATTTCTGGTTTCAGAATGAATGGCAGAAAATAACAGTTAATCTTTGCATACTTTGTAAGTCTGTGAAGAATACTTTGGACCATACTACACAGTGCCCTTGGATCTTGAGTGCCAAGATATGCTGACCCCTCGTAAGTCATTATACATTACGAAAAAAGGATTTCCAAAGTTTTTGCTTTAAATTTTGATTCAGAAAAAATTCTGGCATTTCGTGGTTGAGAAACACAATAAAACATGGGTGTTCTGGAAGCATCCAGAAGAGCGAAGGAGATGGAAACAGAAAGCAATGAGTAGAGAGAGACCCACTAGCTTTTAAAAAAGTGTTATGGGTAGTTGGGAAAGAGTATTATAGATTTAAGAATGAGAAGAAGAATGCACACAAACATTCAGGAATACTGCAGAGTAGTTTCAGGAAATGTCTCAGCCTACGGATGAGAAAGATCGAGTTAATTTGAAAAATAGAAATATTTCTAGGCTAGCTTGGACCCAGATTTTCTTCTGTTTCACATGTTGTCAGACTGCAGTTTCTGGTTTTGATACCATGGCTACAAGATGGCCAGAAATTATGGAGCAGAATTATACAACAAGATAAACACATTCCCATGATGTTTGCTTGTTAGTTTGTTTTTGCTTTGTTTGCTTTTTGGTAACAACTGTATGAAAATATAATTCGCATATAAATACAATTCATCCATTGAAAGTGTACATTTTTTATATATATGCAGAGTTGTGCAGCCATCACCATAATCAATTCTATTTTCATTGCTTTGAAACAAAATCCTGTACCCTTTCGCTATCACCCGTTAACCCCTCCTCCCCAGCCCTACAAAACACCTAATCTACTTTCTGTCTCTATAAATTTCTTATTCTGGATATTTCATATAAAATGAATATATTTCATATGTGGTCTTTTGTGACTGGATGCTTTTACTTAATATAATGTTTTCAAGGTCCATCCATTTTGTAGCATGTATTAGCACTTCATTCCTCTATATGGCCAAATAATATTCCATTGCATGGATATACCATATTTTTTAATCCATTCATCAGTTGACGGAGATTGGGGTTTCTACTTTGTGCCTTTTATAAAAAGTGTTGCTATGAATGTTAGTATACAAGCTTTTGTGTGGATATATTTTAAATATATCTTGGGTTAGCTACTCAGGAGTAGAATTGTTGGGTCACATGGTATCTACATTTAATCAATTGAGGAACTGCCAGACTTTTATCAAAGTGGTTGCATTCTTTTGTACTCTTACCAGTAATGTTGTTGGTTTGGTTTTGCCTGATTTTAGTGTCTTAACATTGGGAGACATACTATGTTAGTTTAATACCCCTTCTAGCTGTAATAATCCTGAAAGATTTTCTTTACAACTTTGCTTGAATCCATGTAGTAACCTCAGACAGTATTTTTCATTAAATAAGAGTTATTCTAGGAACAGCCAGTGAGACTGGGATACTACTTGATTTTTCTGTTCTGTTATAACTATCACTCAATGCTGGAACTTCAGCAGTGGAAGGAATTACTATTCTCTGTTCCTGCTCAACTCAGTCCCATGAACATTGGAGGAACACCTCTGTATGCCTTGCTCCTCTAGAACTGGGTATGAAAAGGAAGATAATATAATTCCTGCTCTCCAACAATTCATTGTAGGGGAGCCATATTGTATTAGAATTACTTGTTATACACTTTATCTCATAATTACAGCAAGCCAAAGGTGATACAGAGTTTAAACTCTCTTCAAGGTCTCTGTTCAATACCATAATTCTATTTCCAGCTATGTCTATTTGTCCTCTGAGATATTATTTATTCATACAATATGTACTTATTGAGTACCTACTATGTACCAGGCACTGGGCTGAGTGTTGGGTGCTGGGCGGTTCTTTTGACTCAAAAGGAAGTTAGAATTTTGAGGTCACTGTTCTTTTTCTTAAAACTTATATTACCTTTTCCCAACAGTCTTTTTTCTTCCTAACACATTCTTTACTTAACTGTTTGGTGTTGCCCCCTGCTCTAAGGGGCTCCATATACGGCTCTGTACACTATACCCAAACTCTTCCCTCTTACCCCTACCTTTAAGACTCATTTATTCTGAGCCTCATTCTCAGTTGTTTCCTACATGCTAATAGATGGTAAAAGGCCTAACCAAATGTAAATCAGTTCTTAATAATGGGGCTCCCAGCTGATGTCCGTCATCTTCCCAATTAAAATAGTTTCTAAATAACTGAAATAGCAGACTCATCAAGTTGTTTAAAATTTACCATGCATGTTGAGTATATTTCTCATGAAATTCACCATTTTTAAAAATCTTTATCTGAGGATATATTTTTATTGCTTTTTTTTTTCTTTTTAGAGAGAAAGAGGCAGGGGGAGAGAGAGAGAAACATCAATCAACTACCTCCATATGCATCCTGACTGAGGATTGAACCCACAACATTTTGGTGTATGGGACAACACTCCAACCAGCCACCTGGCCGGGGCCACCATATATTTTTAATAGACACTTGAAAATGAATACACAGAATGTTGGTACTTAATGATACAGTTGTAGCATGCTATTTAACTCAGTCCTGGAGGGTCTTTAGAGGCAATGATGAGGTTAGTATTCTACACTTTACTAAGACTACTGAGCTCATTGTTTTATAACTATTGTGCTTATATGGAGAGATACATGATAAATTATACTTAGGAAAATATTTCCTTCTTTTATTTCTTTTTATAAACTCACTGGACTTTTTGATTTATAGTTTTTGTGGTTTTAAACTAAAGTAGAATGAATTAACTTGGCTGAACTTTGATGGACAATTGGCCGGTGCTCAATACTCTGTTAAGAAATGAACAAACTTGGAAAGTCAATATTTTAAAATTTGAAAATATGCTATAATTGATCTCCTTTTGTTTGCCCCATTCATATACTATTCCAAGTAGTGGTAAAGTGTTTTGAGGTTTGTACTACTAATTTTAAATTATTTATGTGAAGACAAATGATTTTGTTCCCATTTCCATTACCTGGAGATGTAGGAACTGATTTTGAGAATTTTCTCTCTAAACGGTTTCTTTACAGATGAAGATATATTGTTTCTTAGGCCAAAGGAAATCAGTAAGTATAAAATAGAAATGTTTTCTAAACATGTAGCCAAAGATAGATCTAGATTATGATGTCAAAAACCACTGTAGCTGTTTTCTGGAGTCAATATAGCAAACACTTGGTTAACCAAAATTCTCAGAGGGCCGGATAAAATATAATTTTCTGGTGATCCTTACATAAAACCATTCCAAATTATTTCTTTGCCTGAATAGAGGACAGGGAATTGGAGCAGATTTTGAGGGATATTAATTCCCTTTAGGATATCATTATGACACATCAATTATTATTTTCCAGGACTCTGGTAACCAAAGTTACAGGCAACAAACCAATTCACCACTATTTCTATAAAAGCTGTAGCAAATTGTTACTGTTTTCCAGTTGCTTTGGTTCACTTTTTTTCCCCAATAGCCTTTCCTTTTTTAAAAATATGTTTTTAGTGATTTTAGAGAGAGGAAAGGAGATGGAGAGAGAGAGAAACATCTATCTGCTGCCTCCTGCATTCCCCCTACTGGGGATTGAGCCTGAAACCTGGGCATGTGCCCCTACTTAATCAGAGACATCTTGGTGCATGGGTTGACGCTGAACCAACTGAGCCACACCTACCAGGGCTGGTTCACTCTTTAAAATCAACTGATCTTACCCTAGCCAGTTTGGCTCAGAGGTTAGAGCATTGTCGGCCTGTGGACTGAAGGGTCCTAGGTTCGATTCCAGCCAAGGGCACATACCTTGGTTGCAGGCTGGCCCTGCACATACCTCTGGCCCTGGTCGGGGTGTGTACTGGAGGCAACCAATTGATGTGTCTCTCTCACATCAATGTTTCTCCCTCCCTCCCCCCACCCCCTTCTGAAAAAGCAATGGAAAAAATATTCTCCAGTGAGGATTTAAATAAATAAATAAATAAATAAATAAATAAGTAAATAAATAAAATAAAATCAACTGATCTTTTCTGGGTTTTGTTTTTTCCTATCTTAAAGTGGTAAATGACAGAATATTCCAGTTAATTGAATTTGCTTTATAAGTGGTCTCTGGGCAAGATACTAGGAATTTGAAAACAATCCAAATGGCTGAGTTTAGAAAATGAAATGAGATTCTAGTACCTCTTGAGAGTGTCTGAGGCGGCCTCTTTTCTTTTTTGATTGCAATGGCAAGGTTGGAAGAAACTGCGACCAGTAAGAGGCAGAGGGCCAAAGCTGAGTGTAACATCATGTGTCCTGGAGAATCCCTCAGAAGAAGCTAGATGATAGAAAATAATTTTCAGAATCTAGTAGATTACTTCAACTGTCCTCTAAGATTCAGACCACACCTAATCCGACAGTTTGCTCTGCTTGTGTATGCTGATACGGTACAACCTTCTAGAACTTTCCTTCACATGTTATTTTTAAAATATTTTAAAAATGCAATCAACTCAATGAATGTCCACTTGGTGGAAAACCGCATTCTGGGCATCCCGGGAGTGGTACAGTGAAGTTGAAAGAAAACTTGACCCGGGCACTCAGTGCCCACATCGGACTGCATTTTACTGCTCACAGCACTACAGTGAAGTTCAAGTAAGATCAGGCCTTTCGACTCTAAGGTGTGATGCGAAGGTGACTTTTGGCATGCGTACATATTCTTTGGATTCTTCTTGATCTCTGTGCCAAGATACTAAGATTAGGCATGCACACATATTGCTTACAATTGAGTTTAGAGAAAAAAATGGAATATGGAGATTCCTGTTTTTCAGGCCCTCTAGTCATTCATCTCTTTCATTCTTCCTTCAGTGACTCAGCCACCTGGCCTTCAGTTTGCAACCCAGCTCTTTTAACAATGGAGCTTATTGTCACATTGCTGTAAATTCAATATAAAATTAAAAAGAACAGACTTGCTGCATCTATAGTTTTCCCTTGGTTAGCTAGAATTCAGATGGATTTTTAAGTCAATGTCCTGTTGCTTATACTCTGCAGCTTAAGATATAAACAAAAGTCTGCATTGGATCTGAGCTGGTCTTCAGCCACTTGATAAATATCTTACATGGAGTGTTTAATGCTTGTGAGATGTTCCCTTACAACATGAGTAGCATATAAAACCCATGTGAAAAATAGTTAACATGTGCAGTTTTGAAATCACGGCAAAATATGAAATAAATGTACAGAAATCTTTCATGTTTATTTACAATTCCTTCAGAGCACCTTTCCTGTTCGCTTACATGATTTAGTAGTCAGTTCCCCAACAAAATAGCGAATGACTGTTTTGCAATTCTGTTCAAACATGAATGTTGCTATATGTGACTGCATTAGGCATTGTGGAAAACTGAAAGATTTATAAGACAAATGCACCTTAAAATAACTGATTGCTTGGCAGTGGTAATAGGCTTATTTTGTATGATAGCAATCGTAGCCATGGGGGGAACACTGTGGTGGTGGCAAGTTTATAGATTCTAGGTTTTTCCAGGCACTCCCTCATCCTCTCGTTCTGGTATCTTTTCCTTGGCAGTGGTATAAACCTTCAGTTCCCCTCTGGATTGGAAGGTTTGCCACACCGGGTCAGCCCTATTTAAATGATTTCCCTTGCTAATCTTCAATGAACCCATTTTTAAATTTCTTTGTGTTTAATAATTGAAAAACCATGTTTAAAAATTACCATGGTGCCTGATAACAACCTTAAGTCAGATTCCTGTAAGTTATCAATACCGAAAAGCATTCAGAATGCCATCTTGTATCTTAAGGACTGGCTGTCTTGTGCCGTAAGGATTGAAGCAAAGAAAGGGTAGATTTTAGTAGGGGAGAGAGAGAGCTGAATCTGGACCACAGAGTCTAATGTGGGGAGGGTAGTCTCTGTCAGGCTGAAAATTACAGCAGAGAAACTGAAGCAACCATCTAGGGCAGGGTATTACCCTTGATTCAGTGACTTCTAGAAAGTCTATGATTGAGTTACAGGAGGCTCAAAACCTGAAATTCTATGTAAAATTTTATGGGCCTGTTTATTTTCCTGGGAAAGCTGCCTTAAAAGCTGCATTAAGATTCTTCCAGGGGTCTTGGATAGAAAGCAGAGTTAGGAAAAGTTAATCTGAAGGAAGCATCAGAAAAGGTTCTCCATGGTAGAGACAGAGATCAGTAGGTGAAATCTGTATTGAAAAAGACAAAGTATAACTTCACCGTTTTCCTGATGTAGAGCTGCAAAGTTTAGAGTTGAGTGGGAACCAAACTTTTTTAAAAAAATATTTCAAGTTATTATGTATTATGTCAAAGACTATTCTTAAAAAATCAAAATATTGAATTTCTGTCTTACATTATTTGATAAATTATAAAATAGATATTAAATATATTCCATGATAATGCTGATCAATTTATATATTTTTGTTTTTGGACAAACATGATTACCTTGGGAAAATAGAACTACTCAGACTACTGAGGGTTCCCTAACACCAGAGGCACAGTTAAGCTGCTTGGGGGCACAGATGAGAATGACATGGTTATGGCCTTAGAGCAAGCAGCCTACAATAGCGCACCCAGGACGCACATTACCAAATCTACAATCAGGTGTTATAAACATTGGCCAGCACATTTTATGACACCGGTCTTTTACTTTTCAAGAGCAAGTCAACATAAATCACTTACTTAGATGTTCTATAAAAATATTTTCTATTTTAAAATAAGACAAAATTTAAAAGAAAACAGACACGAACAATTGTTACTTGAACCCTAATTTTTGAAGGGTCATTTTTGGTCAATGCTAGTTTATTATAATATCAGTAATATAAGTAGAGAATAAAAGTATGAAGCCAGCAAAAGAAATCCAACTCATTAAAAGAAAAATATACAATTTCATTGAATGTCCCCTCCCCATTACTGAAGACCTCACTTTGAAATAGCAATACATGGATTATTTAAATATAGCAGAGCTTGACCACTAATTAAATAATCGGGAAATTTTGCTTGCTTACCTGAACTAGCCAGTGCTGTTGCTGGAAGTGTATTCTGGATGTTTCTGGTTTAAAATGGGCGTGGATTTATAGACACAGACAAACACACACCCCTGACCTTCAGCCCCACCTGCATGGAAACAAGAGCACATTCACCTGCAAACTTACAAAAAATAGGCTTGTCTGAAAAACCCTGACTTCTTTCCAGTTCTCATGCTTCTCACGCTAAAAAATTCGTGTCTGGTTCCCTAAATTAAGATTGAGTGCCCTTGTAAAATGAGGCCAAATACAGTCTTTGGGCTTTTTTTCCCTTCTACCTTTTACTTCCCAAGGTAATTTAATGTTTGGCTGGAGTTCAACACCAGAAAAAAATAAGGGGGGAAGAAAGGAACTGGTTTGAATGTAGGAACTGTGTGTACACCACTGTTCTCAATTAAAGTTCAGCAAGGCTCGCAGATTAGATATAAAGCAAACAGGAATTCCTTCGGGTTACTCTGTTTACAGGATTGCAATGAACAGCTAAAGAGATCAGGTGCTTTTGATCTGGAGAGGGAGAAAAAATACATGCTGTTTTAAAATTCAACATTTTTATAATTTGATTACTTTTTACAGTCTTTCTATAAAACCATTTCCCTTACTATGCAAAAAATAGAAAAACAGGCAATTGGATAAGTTTGTTTAATATTTAATAGTTAGATTTTTAACATTTTTGTCATTAATCCATGGTTATGGTAAAACGCTTCTCAAATATATAGTTATGTCAAAACAAAAAGTAAAATTCTCTTCTCCCTTCCATACTGTGTATTCTTGTACCCCCCCCCCGTCAAGTTCCACTTCCGGAAGTAAATCCCTGTTAAAATCATCTAGGGCACGGTTACCAAATCTGCCTCACCTGTTTTTGGACAACCCAGGAGATAAGAATTATTTTTACATTTTTAAATGGTTGTGGGGTAGGGGGTGGAGGGTGGGTGGAATCAAAGGAAGAATCGTATTTTGTGACATGTGAAAGCGACATGAAATTCAAATTCCAATGTTGGTAAATAAAGACTACTGGGTGGAACCCAGCCGCACTCGTTTCCTGAGGTGTTGTGTTCGGCTACTTCTGCACTGTAACTGGACGCTGAGTGCTGTGACAGGGCCCGTGTGGCCTGCAAGCCCTAAAAGATGTCTGGCCTTGTACAGAAAGTGTTTGCTAATCCCTAACCTAGGATGTTGTTCCATAAAATTTCCTTCCTTCTTCCCTCCTCCCAGTCTCTCCCTCCCCTTTCTTTCTCCCCACCTCTGTCATCTTTCTCTCCTTTTGTCTAATTACTCAACGTATTAACAAAATCGCTGCTAAAGAGGGGCGGTGATTGTCTTGCTTCTGACATTGAAGTGAGTGTGCCCCTAGCCTTTTAATGTCAGACACGGTGCTGGTTTCATTGACCAAGTTAGGAAGGCAGCCTTTCACATTCATAAATTGAATTTAGGGTTGAGATTACCTACCCACTTTGTGTATGTGTGTATGTGTGATTGTCCATCTGTCTGTTTATGTTTCAGTTTGTCAGTCTCTCAGAATACATAAAAAAATAAACAGTACAAAAAGATCAACAGTAGAAAATAGATCTTTCTCTCACCCATCTTCCAGTCTATGGGTCTCCTAACTAGAGACAATAATTATCAACATCTTGAGCCTTCTCCGAGAAATGTTTTCTCTATATTCAAGCATGTTCTTATCCAGTTATGTATTATGTACCTAGCTAGCTACCTAGCTATCATCTCTGTTGTATATATCTACCTATGTATTTTTTTTTTTTTATTAACACAAATGGTACCATTCTATCAGTACTTCTGACCCTCTATTTTTTACTTAATAATACTAAATATTGTACCATATCAGAACAGGTATTTATGAAACTATTTAGTAAATCACAGAGAAAGAATATTCTGTAGAGAACATTTATCTGTCTTTATTTTCTAAGTCTTGTAGATGCAAATACTAATTTTAAAAATGTTGGTTTCTGGAAAAAACACAACCCAGATTTTTGGATTAAAGGAATAGATATCTCCAGGATTTGTTATTTTATGCCAAACATTTAAAATCTTAATGTTTTTATAAGCCTGTCAAGTTCACTGTCTGCAACCTGTAGATTTCTGCTCTGTAAACACTTACCTATAGCCTGTGGGGGTAACATTTTACTTTCATCCATAAAAATGTCTCTGTGCCTTGACTAGGCAGAGCATTTTTCCTCCCATGGAGGGAAGATCAGGGACCTAGACTGGCCACTCAGTTTCCCCAGATCCAGTCTGGGAGAGCCTGTTTTGGAAATTATGGGTGAAATTAAAACGGAGAATGCACCTTGACTGGGTAGCTCAGTTGATTAGAGTGTCATCCAGATACACCAGGGTTGCAGGTTCGATCCCCCATCAGGGCACATACAACAATCAACCAATGAATGAGTAAATAAATGGAACAACAAATCATAACAAATCAAGTTTCTCTCTCTCTCTCTCTCTCTCTCTCTCTCTCTCTCTCTCTCTCTCTCTCTCTCACACACACACACACACACAGGCACTAGCCCTTCCCCTCTCTAAAATCAGTAAATTAAAAAAATATATTTGGGGAAAAAATGGAGAGTGCAGAGTTGAGAGGCAGCCGTGGCAAGTCTGCAGAGGGATCCAAGAAATGGTTTCTAGTGGGTGAAGAGCAGTTCAGACAACGGGAAGAAGAAAGCAGAGCCAGTCTCACAGGACCAGGGGAAGGAGAGCAGTAAGCAATGGGTCTGAGGAGTAAACGGGGGTGCAGGGCCCTAGCACGGTGTGTGGGAGGGACAGCTGGCTCCATTTAAAGAGCTGGGGGGAGTGTGGATATGGCCTTGTCATGAGATTAGAGAAAAAAGAATCTTAAGAGGGCAAGTAGAATGCTTATAATAAGATAAATTTGAGTTTAAAAGCTTATGATTTAATCTGTAAAAACGAAATTATATTCATAAGCTGCAGATGTGAAAACACCAAGCCACAGAATAAATTATGTTTCTAGGGGAATTATACATCTTTGTGTAGGGAATCGCTTTAGTTTCATAACTTCAAAAAAGATTAATAGAAGAATGTTCCCTGAAAGAAGATACAGCTCCTCCAGCCAGTCTTTCACTTCACAAAGCCAAATGCAACACTTGGTCAGGGTTCTTAGGGTCTAAGTATTATACATACAAATTCACAATGAAAGTTAATACTTAGAGACAGTCTACAAATCAACTGAATTGCTTATTATATTTTCTAAGAACAGACTTAGATTTTGTGTGCTTGATGAGTGAACCATAAACTAACAATCCTCAGTCCTGCTAGAGCTCTCTATTTATTTCCCCTCTGTTTTGTTTCAGGTAATACAGGATTTTAATTTCATATTTTACACTTGCTATATATCTCTTTTGAAGAATTATTGTATTAAATACTGTTGATTGCTTATTTAAGACTATTTTTCTTTCATATAGGCCTCTTTCTTTCTGGAAAACTTTTGGGTATATTGGATTTCTGGCACTACTATCTATGTGTCTTTAATAATTTTCATCTCCTTAGGCTCTTCCTCAGAGGCAGAATTCTTCAACTTTGTTTTCTAACTAACTGGTTTGATATAGGTAGTATTCAATTTATTATTAATTGCTTTCATTTACAGTATAAAAGTTAGCAGTCACACTTTTCAATTATAAACCTTTTCTCTTTTTAAATGGTTCTCTGTTTATTATTTCAGATATTGTTTTTATACATTTAACCTAAGATGCCTCTGTAGAGGTGTGTCCAGCCAGATATTAAACCTCGCGAGGACCTCAGTTTCCTAAGCCACTGTCACCTTGCCATACTCACACCTTGGGGATCTTTGTGGCTCCCCCACTGTATGAAGGCTCCAAGTTCTATTGTACTTTTTGGAAACTGCAGAAGAATTGAAATTTACTCCCACCCACCAGCCCATGGCTTAGCCTTATTTTCAGGCATCACTGCAAACTTGCTAGCGAGGCCCCATTCATTTACGGCCCTAACGGCTTTCCTTTATCTGTTTTAGATTCTGGGCATTTCTTCCCTTCTTTCACTCTCATCTTGCCTGTGCTGTCTTAGATTCCTTGAACTTTCTATTTGGCTAAGTATACCTTTCGGTAGTTTACAAGGAGGTAAACACTTTTCCCCTACGACATTCAAAGGAGAGTTTAGAAGAATGTGGGTTCGGGTTGTCATCTTGAACTGAAAGTTACCTTTTACTCCCCTTTAAGTTGAGCCTAAAATGGGCTCAGTGATTTTTCTCAAGCTCAGAGTGACAGAGAGTGGTTTCTAACTTAGATCTTTGTAACCCGAATTTGGTGATTTTTTTTCTACTAAGGGAGGCATTATACATTATACATAAGGGTATAGGACCTAGAGAAGAGGAGTACACAGATTCTAACATCTGGAAGAGTGGTCCTATGGGGGCCAGGATGGGAACTCATTCCCCAAGGCTGTTTGGCGAAATTTTTTATTGCACATTACACAGTGGGGCCACTGATTTTAATCCCATATTTCACAATGCTTCCTCTAACATTCTCATCAATGCCTTAACAATTGTCATGACAACTTATTACTTATAGGAGTCTCTTGAGGAACAATGATCATGGGGCCATTCACCCTCTGCACCCAGCCTCCAGTTGTCCTGCTCTGGGACCATGATGTCTGGGTTCCAATACCTGATTAGTAACCACTGTGACTCCAAACAAGTTATTCATGTAAATAGAAATGATAATGATTCTCATTTTACAGAGTTCTTGTGAAGATTAGGTGAGAGCAAACATCAAAAGTGACAGAAAGTACCTTCCCAGACATATCCTACCCTGGACCAGCCTTCTTGTAGTTACTGGAGATAACACAGGGAGTGCCAAGAATAAGTTGCTTCCTTTTTTTTTTGAAAGAGATAATAAATGAATATTTAAAAAATATTTGATGAATTCCCAATAAATATTAGTTTTCTTATTTATTGTTATAACTATTATTCAAATGAGACCACTGAGCCCAGAAACTAAGTAAGAAAACTCTTTAGCAATAAGATGGACTAACTAGGTATTA